TTTATAAGAATGGATACCCAAGAGTTGCTAGTTTTCCTACCAACCTCCACTGATTTTGGTTGGGTGTTCTCTTCACTCTTCACTCTATGTTTTGAAAGCTTTGTTTTTTAATGGTTTCTCTCAATGTTTCTTGTTCACCTTTTTTTTCTCTCCTCCCTTTTTCTGGTTTTTTATGGTTCTCTTGTGTTTCTATCTAACTCTCTTGATCCTCTCCTCTTTCTTACTGCTGCTCCCCTCCTTATAGTCAAACAATAGGGTTTCTTTCACTTGTTTGCTACAAAATCTTTTCATTGGGATATATTTCTCATCACTTTCTTGATGCCAAGCCCAATTCTTTCCATTTCCATGAATTCTACTTTGCTGTATTTTTGCTGCTACACTTGCCTTGCCTATTTTTTTCTGCTGCATTTTGTCTTATTCCCAAACCTGAACCCATTTGTTTGTTTGTGCTTGGACTGCCCTTGTGGTCCAAGTTTCTACCTTTGACAACATTTCAAAATTCTAATATTCAGATGCATCATTATGAGTCCATACCTTGGGTCTTGTGACATGAATTGTTTGGTTATGAGATAATTTGTCATTTCTTGTTTGGGACATGCATGGGGATGTTTTAGACTAACTTGAAAATGTCTTGAAATTGCCCATGGATAAGCACAAATGGTCTTGATTTTGAAATGTTCCAATATTGAATTGAACCTTAATTATTTTCCTTGGATGCTTGTGGGCTTATTTGGTTGTGAATTATGTGAAGGCTTAGTGTAGCACATGGAGATTTGAATAAGCATGAAGGATACCATAGCATAAAGTTGATTAGAAGCTTGAATTAAGATTAAAAATGGCTTAATTTTCTAAGAATTGCTTAGAGTTGGAAACTTTGTAACAGATGTGACATTCTTGAAATGTCATAAAATTTTTTTTTTTTTGTAATATTTTTGAATCTAATCTTGAGTTTATGAATCTTGAATTTGGAATGATGGATCTCCTTTATACTATTGAATTTGAAAGGGATGAAGTCTTGAATTATGAACTTGTGATCTTTTGAATTCCACTTGAACATAGAATTTGAAACAAAGTTGGATGAAGAAATCTTGAATTAGGCCTTACAAATCATGTTCATTAGGAACATTGACCTTGAATACCTCAATATTTTTCAACTAACTTCTCCTTGAAGAAATATACATGAGTAGACTTTCCGACTTGAATCTAACCTTAAATGATGAACCTTTCTTCAATGTAGCCCATGATAGAAAATTTCTCTTATTTGAAATGAACAACAATAAACTAACTCATTCCTTACCTTGTAAACCACATGCTCGATATGCACTAAAATGATGTATGATATGATGAATGTAGGGTATGAAAGGCTAAAGGTGAAAATGAGGGTGTGACAGCCGCCCCTATTTAATCCTCTTGGACCTGAATGTCTGGAGGATAAAGGTGTTCGAACATTCATGGTAGAAGATAATTAAATACTAGAATACCCGGGATTTTCAACCGGAGAGGTGTGGAATGAAAGTAGACAGTCAGCGAGATGGCTTGAAAAAGGTGTCTGTTAGTGAAGAAGGGTTATGGGGGATATGATGATATGCTTGAGATGCAATGCAGAATGAACATGAGTGCTTTGCCATCCAGAAGAGGAGACACATCGTAATAGGGAATCATAATTGACCAGAAGATATTCCTTCTACAAAAGACAGAGAGGACTCAGAAATATAGAAATGTGAGATACTCCTTCTACGAAAGGTAGAGATGACTCTAAAAACAAAGGATTATAAGATATTTCTTCTACGAAAGGTAAAGAGGACTCTAAAATAAACATTATGAGATATTCCTTCTACGAAAAGTAGAGAGGACTCAAGAAAATGGATTGTGAGATATTCCTTCTACGAAAGGTAGAGAGGACTCTAGAAATTGGTTTTCCTCTTACAAAAGGAAAGGAGGACTCCCGAACAAAAGGTTTGGAGAAAATGTTTCCTTCTACAAAAGGTAGTGAGGACTCCAAAACAAAAGGTTTGAAGACAATATTCCTTCTATAAAAGGTAGAGAGGACTCCAAAATAAAAGGTTTGAAGACATGATAACTCTTTCTACATCAAGTAGAGGAGACTCCCTTGGGAGAATACGATCGTATTTCCTTCTGTAAAGGCAGAAAGAACTCCAGAACAAAAGGTTAGGAGAAGAAGTTCCTTCTACAAAAGGTAGAGAAGACTCCAGAACAAAAGGTTTGGAGATAATTCCTTCTACAAAAGGTAGATAGGAGACTCCCTTAGGAGAGGACGATCGTATTTTCTTTTGCGAAAAGCAGAAAAGACTCCTGAACAAAATGTTAGGAGAAAAATTCCTTCTACAAAAGGTAGAGAGGATACTTACAAAAGGTAAGCTGACAAGAACCTGTACAAAAGGCACGGGAGGTCTTACTAAAGGTAAGTTGAATCTGTTGCAAAAGGTAAAGTGGAGATACTTCATGAAAGAGACACGAAAAAGACTCACAAAAGGTAAGTTGAGGGCAATAACCATCCTCTTGCAAAAGGTAGAGGAAACTTGTATAAGGTGCTAGAACGTCATTTGACCTCACAGGCACAACGGCGGAGATGATATTCTTTAAGTATGGCAACCATTCAGTACTTGGTCACACAAGTATCAAGCGTCCAAATTGATTGAAAATACCTAAAACAAAGTTTTGTCGCGTGTAAAAGATAGCGAAGACGCGCTTACAAAAGGAAAGCGAAAGGGAAAGGTTTCACGCGAAAGGCAATGAAATCCCTTACGAAAGATAAAGTGAGAAAATATCTCACGTAAAAGGCTCAGAAGTACTTACAAAAGGTAAGTGAATGGATAAGTACTCCGAACTACGGAGCTCTGATTCTTCACTTCTTTTAAGTGAGGATACGTAGCCACAAAGGTCACAATCCTTGGCGAGCACTCTAATAAAAAAACCAACCCCTCTTTCCCTTAAGCAAGTAGACTTTTAGATTAAAACACCTATTTTAGCTAAACAACCTAGAAGGTTCCCATCGAGTACGATGGATGTGAGGGGGTGCAAATACCTTCCCCTCGCATAACCGACTTTCAAATCCAAAAATTGGTTGCGATGACCATGTTCTTTCTCTAAAGGTTTTATCGTTATTTCCCTCTCCCTCTTTGGGATAAATAAAATTCGATGGCGACTCTGTGTCATTTTTCGCGTAGCGACAACGACGAGTCGGGGGTTTGGATTGAAAGTGGAAATGGCTTGATGACGAACCAAGTGTTAGGTTGTGAGAAACGATACTAGTCCCTGAGGGTGCTCCCAATATCGAAACCATGATGAAGTGTGTGCAATAGGTTGATGGTGAATGCGGACGAGCACTCGACTTAAGATGAGTGTTTGAAAATGGCTCGATGACGAATCGACAATTAGTTTGAAAATAGTTTAATCTATGCTAGTCCCTATGGGTGCTCCTAGAAGATAAACCACAATCAAAGAAATACGAAACATACATCGGAATGGGAGAGGGTTACATGTAAGTTACACGGGATTGCACGAAATAAAAGGGTCTCATTGTCAGGTAGCCCAAGAGAAAGTCGTGTGCGTGCAATGTGTCCTAAACTAAGCCTTGGGCAAAAGTCGAGGACAACTCCATGTTAGGGTTCCTGCAAACGACCAATGATCCAACAGTCCACCAATTTAGGCTTTTAGCGTTTCGATCATTTATTAAGTGTTTCCGAATATGGGTGAATGAAGGATGAATAAAATAAATATGAATATGCCAATTATGAATAATATGACAAGATAATATAATAATAATATCAAAATAATATACAAGATATAATGACTGAACTTAAAGCAGTTGATATTTGACAGAAAGTAAAGTTAGTGGTTAGTTTGTTATTGAATTGAATCGGGACAAAATGTAATGCTAAACCGTCGTAGCTCGACTTATGATGAAAGTCGAACTATAGGAGGTCGCGTAAATTGATATTCGTGCTAAAAACAAGATAGAGAAATGATATTGAGAATCATTTTCCAATTTAATCGTGCCGCACAGACTAAGGAAAGGTGGGATCTCGTCTTAATCATAAACATCATGTCGATTAATCGAAGGTAGCTTATCACGATCCCAAAGTAAAGAAAATGACCCAAATGGTCATTTTCCATAGATTTGAAATTGTGAAGGTTATCGACTTTGATAAATCGACGCTTACGAATCGAAAGACTTCATAGATCGAGAAAAATTAAATAAAATCGAAAATGAAGAAGAAATTGAAAGAGAAAAGAAGTTGGTCTCTGATAAATTGTTATCTATCAATAATTTGACCGATAACAACTCTCGGAGTTTTGTCATTGACCAAAAACAATAAAAATGAATAAATAAAAACATAATTGTTATCATCCAAAAGTTTCAATAGTTATTGCATTACACTTTTATCCCCCCATCCAAAAGTTTCAATAGTTATTGCATTACACTTTTATCCCCCTTAGCGCCTTGATATATTGGTACCGAATATTATACACTGGTTTGATATTTGAGATATATTTTTGGTTCTTTTACGTTTCAAAGTTGTAAATATGTTTTTCGATTGAGGCAAATTCAGTGTCATATCTAAAATGTATTCCTTCTCTTCCGGCATTAGGTGACACGCACTTGAACGAAAAAGTTTGATTTTTGTGAATGTTGAATTTTTTTTTTTTTTTGAAAACGCCAAAATGCATTAAAGAGGAAAAGAAAAGCACAAGTTGTGCTATCAGTTAGGACAACATTTTACATACAGACTGTCAGTGGACACAAACACCAAAAGAGCAATAATCCCAAGTGGCTTCTTATTCTGCCATATGCAAGCAAGACATAAAAAGACCAGTCTTTAATTAAGTCTCCTCAAATCAAATACATCTATTTCAATTTTTCAATATATAATGTTGTTAGCATTAATAAATTTCAGCACAAGAAATCATTAACATTCTTGCAAAATCTCTATATACACCCCCAACAATCAAACATATGAAAAGACAAAGATGCATCATCATCTTCCATCAAATACACCACTGAAAACTTGACTGTCCCCACCTAGTGACGCTTCCCATTCTATTGAAGACATTACAATCTTTGACAATACAACAACTATCTCTTTCATTTCTGGTCTGTCCACTGGATTTTCACTCAAACACCAATGTGATAATTCTCCCATCTGTAACATCATCAATCTCAACAATTAATCCATAATAATGAAACTTTTATATGAATATGTGAATGAAGATTGAAATTTTGAGTTGAATGTAACCTTGTAGACATCTTCAATCGGATAACTACGTAGAAGATTCCCGTCTACAGCTTCTTCTAAAGCAATCACAGGATCATCATCTTGAAATATTTTGTTTACCTGAATAATGCGACGATTCAAACAAATATATATATCAACTTACTTTGTTTCTTTTCATATTTCTTTTGTTGATAAATTCTATCAAGAACTTACAACTGCGATAAGTGATTTCATATTATTAGCTTCTTGGTTATCACGAAACAATGCACGTTTTCCCGTTATCAACTCAGACAGAACCACACCAAATGCAAATACATCGGTTTTTATCGTCACTTGAAGCTCCTTCACCGATCTAAAAAGAGAGAAAAAATTGTAACAAAAGAGATATTTTCTATGCTTAAGTTTTATCATATCGATGATAGCAAGAAACCTACTCAGGTGGAAGGTAGCCTGGTGTTCCAACAAGCCTTGTTGCTAAAAATTCTTCATCGTTGGTTCGTTCCACGAGCTTCGCAAGCCCGAAATCCGCTACCTATTTTTTAAATCATATCCATAGTAAATGATTTTGTTTTGAACATATGAAAGACTGACATAACACAGACACTAGACACTGAAATATAATACATAAGACGTACCTTTGCTCTGAGCTTTTCGTCAAGAAGGATATTACAAGTCTTTATATCACGGTGCACATATCGCGCTTTTGTGTAATCGTGTATGTATTCGATACCTTTTGCTGAATCAAGTGCAATTTGAGCTCTAGCACACCAAGATAGAGGCTGGTGACCTATTTCAATAACCATGGTTTTAGATATATTTTTTTTAGATATATGAATCAAAAAACATATAGTTTGATAATTTCATGTTACTAATCAATATACTATACCTTTTAATAATGGATCATGAAGGTGTTCACTTAGAGAACCATTAGGAACATACTCATACACCAAATAAAGATGATCATCTCCACTTGCGTATCCCAACAACTCCACCTAAAACAATGCAATTAATTACATCTATAGTATAATAAAAAATTCGGAGTATTTGACCCGTCTGCAGTCATCACAATCTCACACATTCATAATCGAGATCAGATTGTCTAAATTTCAATGTAGATTATGATCTTTTGTAAGATATACAATACGAGTTTGATATTTGAATCGTCTAATCTCGATTCAATGATAGTAGATGTGTTGACTGCATGAATCTTTATATAAAGACTATGCCAAAGATCAATGTTACATACAATGTTAATATGATGGATCTTGCATAAGGCTTTGAGTTCTGCATAGAACTCTTTGGATTTGTTAGACTTCATTTTCTTCACAGCAACTTCCTAAAAGTTAAAATAACTATATTAATGTCTAACTTTTTTTAGCTAAACATTAATCATCATTAATAAAGAACCTATACAAGATGTTCTTACTTTATCTTCTAGCATTCCAAAATAGACAGTGCCATATCCACCAACTCCAATCCTTCTAGTTTCATCAAAGTTATTTGTAGCTTCTTCAATCTCCTCAAAATCATAAATCACTGGTCTTTCGGAATCGAATTGTGTTGCATCTGTGTCAATATTGGTACACGAAATATTGAAAACTCGAAACGAAAATAAAAAAAAATAAAAAAAGTTTTCTCAAACCAAAGTATTTTTGCTTCCAAAAATTATTTTGAAGTTACCTTCCATATATTCTTTATGAAATTCTTGATTCCTTAGAGAAATGGTTCTATTGGCAAGTGATCTTTTAGAGAAAGTTTTTGGATCATTTTTGCTAGTTCCATAGCCTTTATTTCTTCTGAGAATGTAAACCATCAAGGTAATAACTGAAAGCAATGTTACACTCACTAGGATACCAGTAATTATCACCCACTTGTGTTTCTTTTCTGCAAATAACAAAAAACCAAAGATAAAAAATGTATTAGAGTGCTTAATGTTACTAATAAAAGGAAATTATCACATGACAAACATGTTGCGGTATGTGCGTGTATCTGGTATTTGTGTCTATATTTCGTGTCTGTGTCTAACGTCTGATTCTGCAACAAAAAAAACTTACCTTTTTCATTGGAAAATGGTGACCCTTTTAATTCCTTGGGAACATATAAAACCCAACCAATATCAATGAATGTTGGGTTAGGACCCAAAATTTCATTCATTTTCACCATGCCATCAAGATTGGCATTTAACAAAAGAGAAATTGATGTTGGTGTGTCACCTTGCTGAACAGTATATGTAACAACACTTTGTGACTCAAGTTCTGAACATCCACAAGGAATATGAATCGTTACATTCTCATTTGCAACCAAATCTTCATTGACATGCCAAGTTTGGCCACTATAAACAATATTGTTAATATTCGAAAAACTTTCATTAGGACTCACTTTGTAGTTTGTGTCATAGAAATAACCGTTAAGGTCAATGGTGTCTTGGCAAGGACAAGGCACTTGTATAAGGTAATCTTGTTTTGTGCTACGGATTATCGGTTTGATTTGGGAAGGATCGACGGAGTAAAAATCGGCTAGTTGTTGTATGTTGTGATTGTAGTTTATGTGGTAGAGTGATGCATTGCATGTTTTGATCTTTGTAGAACATTTAAAAGGTTCTATGTAAGTGTTTTTTATTGAAATTTCAAAGGTGAAAATAGTTGTTATAAATGAAGATGATAGAAGAGGGAGAAGAAGTGAAAGAAGTTGAACTGGAGAATAAGCCATAGTTTTGATCATGTCTATGAAGCTTCTAATTCCATAGTGAAGAAAAAAGAGAATTTATCTTCATATATGGATGTAGCTTCTTTCAAGAAGCAGAAGCATCACAAAGTCGCTTAGGATACTTATTATTTATATAACTATAGTGACCTTTTTTTCTTATTAAATATTGTGTTGTGATATTGACCATGATACTATTGCGGTGATGATGATTATTATAATAAAACTATTTTTATGACTATACAACTTGTCATTAAGGATGGAGCATCTTTTATGGGACCTTGGACGGCAATAATGGCCAAATGAAATCTAGTTGAAAACAAAAACTATAAACAAAACCCATCAAGTAAAAAAGCTAGAGCATTACAGTGCCATCACTGGTCAACTATACTGTACTAACATTTTTCTTCAACACAATTATCAATGTCAGTAAACTTGTGTATAGTGCCTTCATTGTAGAAAATGACAAATATAGTTATAATACTGTCATGTAAATATTAATAATAAGTGAAAATGATTAAATATATAAGCACAAGTGTTAGTGTTATGTAGACACATGTCAAGAATACAGGTTCAATGTGGTGCTATAAAGAATAAGTTATGGCAATCTTGGGGGTTTTCTTAAATTATTCTCTTATGTCAATGCATTTTGATTTGAAGAGTTAGTAACTTAATCAAAACAATAAATATTAGAAGAATCTAACTTTTAGGCATGTGAACTTTTTAGGTGATCGAAACTAATATTCTAAATAAGTTATTATCCCCTCTGGTTTTTATTATTAAAAAACTATTTCTGAATTTATTAAATAATTAATATATTTAATAATTAATATAATAGATAAGTTATCTAGTCTATATAATAAATTTAAAAAATAATTTTTTTATAATAGAGATTAGAGATTCTCGTTACGATAAAAAAAAAAAGTATATTTTTAAAGAGATTTCACATTCATGAAAATTTTGATCGGGATGAAAATAAAATATGGTAATATTTTAAAATTTTGAATAACGCGCTTTATCTATTTTCTCGATTGACAATTGAATCGATAGAAAAGCTCATAGCTATCCTATCGGCTGCGTTTGGATCAATAGGAAAATATTTTACCGTTGTATGACTTCCAATTTCTTCCCCTAAAACTCTTTCTATTGCTAAAACTGTTGAATTTTCTGTGAATGTTTTACAGCTTAGGAAAGAAATCACCATATGAAAAGAGAATTATAATCTCTACAAAATCATATTTTGAATAGACTTGTAGATGATCTATATGATTATTACAGTAGATACAGTATTGTAAATCATGATTGGGAGACTCTGAAAAAGAAGTATGTTGTTAACCGCTACCTTAAGTGTCAAATGGTAAAGATGAAAGGTCTGTGGATACTAAATGTTACTAACTTCAAGAGATTACTTATGAGAACATCATTGAAGATATGTATTTAGATGGACAATTTCAAATTTCTTTTACTATTGACAAATTTCTCAATAGTTTGAATGTTTTCAAAAAATTTACTTCACCAAAAGAACTTTTAATTGAGAGTTTGATTATTCGCCTTCGAGTTGAAGAAAAATCTCAGAGACAAGATCAAAAAGAAATGTCTTGGTTATTTTAAACAAAAAAAAAACATAAGTTTGGTGTAGTTCTAAAGTCATTTGAAAAATGATTAAAGAATCAAAACAACAATGTTGTGAACCAAATTAATAATGAGAATCTCTCTAGGGAACCATATGCTCTGATTGCTAGTCAGCAACCACCACCTCAAAGAAATAACGCTTCGACATTTGTTTGTTTTAATTATGGAAAGTTTGGTCATATGGCTAAGAGATGTAAGAGCATGCGTAAACCTTGTGTGGCACATAATGTATAGGTTAACCTGACTTATGAGTAATTTATTATTTTGTCACTGAAATAAACATGATTGGTGAATGTGATGGTTGGTGGTTAGACGTTGACTCTCCTCGTCATGTTTGTTATGATCACGCAATGTTTAAAACATGCACGAAAATAAAGGTGTCGTTGGGAGTTTCCCACACCACTAAGTTGTCAGCATTTGAGAAGTGGAGCAGAGTCTACCTCTGAAAAGACTTTAATCTTAAAGGATGTCATGCATATTTAAGAGATTATAAAGAATCTTGTTTCTCGTTTTCTTATAAAAAAAGGCATAGATAGTTAGTTTATTTGAGTAGTGTCATACCGCCAAATTTTACCCCTTAGATGTCATCATCAGTTGCATAAGCATTTTAGGACAATCATCCTTGCATAACTAACCAAACTATCAAGCATTGTGGTTTTGTTTCTTTTGTGGAATTATGGTTTTATACAAGAAAGGGAAAGCTCTGATTAATCAATATTTGAGGGAGGGATCAACTAAACAAGTCCTCACATACTTCAAAGGTCCCTGGGATTCCTTTTGGTTCAATACAATTCATTTCAAGGGCTTTCTAAGTGAATGGGAGATATTTTGAATTCATTTGATTAAAAAGTCAACTAAGGCTCCATAAAGTCAACCTTTGAGTTTTTTTGGTCAACATGAACATTTCAAGCCATATTCCACAATATCATGTGGTTAGATTAATAAAAATCAAGGTGGAATAATAAAATCAGAAGATTTGAAAAATTAGGATTTTTGATGAAATTTTCTAAGTATGGAAATCAAGATTTTTAGTTATCTTGCAAGAGTCATATCTCACTCATCCTTTAGCCAAATGGAGTAAACCAATACTCATTTTGAAGAGGACATTCCCTACTACAAGTTTGTAGGAGGAATCAAGTTCAAAGAGTGAAAGGATTGGATGTTATGGATGGTTAAAGTTGGTAGAAACCATAATTTTGTACTTACACTTAGAAATTTTCTAAGCCTTAAATTTCAGCATTTTGGAACCAACGTTATGGGGATTTTTCATATGGTTTCAAGCTTCAATTCAAAATTCCTCAAACATGAAAATTGTTTCTTGATCTTCAAGCTTTACAAGCATATCAAGAACTCTTCATTTGGATTAACCAATCTCAAGTTATGGTGTTCTAAAGTGTCATGATTTCAAAGTTTGGATTTATACTTAGAAATTTTGTCAAGTTTTGTTGGACAGCTTGTTGAACCAAAATTCATGAGGATTTTTCATGTATTTCCAAGTCTCAACTCCAAATTATAATGACATGAAAGTTGTAGAGCTACATGCCTACTTTCTAAAGAGCTTAAAATCTCCCCAATTGAGTCATTACTCATTGAGATATGGGTGTTAAAGTGAACATCATGAACATTGTCACATCTTGCTACCATGACCAAACTTTAAACCAAGATTTTGACAAACTTATGCAGCACCCAAGACCTCATTTCTTGTGCACCAAACTTGTGATTTAGGACCCCAAGACTTGTCAATTTGAGCTCACTTTTGCTATGACATACAAAAGGCATATTTGGTGTAACACTCCAAATTTATTGAATGTTTATTTAATTTATTTAAATATGAATATTCATATTTTTGGTGATTTTCGGTGGTTGGTGTGAATATTGGAAATTATGGAGTTTTGAGTTATTTATTTAAATAATAATATATAATATGAATATATTGGTATTATTATTAATTTAAACAAATATAAGTGAATTGAGGGCAAAATGGACTTTTGAGGAGGAGTTAGTGAGGGTGAAATTGGAAAGCCCATTTTAAAGGCCCAAAGTTAGGTTTAACAAAAAGGAATTTTGAGGGAATTAGAATTCATTCTTGTTAGACCGTGAAAAAGGAAGAAATAAAGGCAGAGCTATAAGGAAGATGATTGAGGCAAAAGCTTCGCGAGGTTTCCAAGAATCAAGGAGAAAGGCTTAAAGTCGGAAATTTAAGTATGAAGAGTATTACCTTCATCGTTTTCAATATGTGATTCAATGTATTTAAAGCCAATTTAAGGGTTTAGGGATTTTGAGTATTGAATTGTTGTTGTCTTTCTGGTTAGTTTAATGAGTTTGAGGGATTTGAACTGATGGTCTGATAAGTTTGAGGTTGATTTGGGAGTAAGGGAAATTAGGCCGTCGTGACCAAAAATCTGTTGTTGAGGTTTTAACTGTATAGGGTAATTGATTATGAGAACTCTAACGAATGTGGGAAAATTGTAAGGATTTTTTTTAAGAATTGAACATATATCCATCAATTTCAGAGGTTTTAGGCATAATCTTAAAACAACGATTAGATGGTTTAATTGTGTTAAAATTTTAAATTTACTTGAGATAATTATAGTGTTTAGTGGATTGTAATTTTTTGAGAGTTTAGGTGTTTATGAAATCGAAATCAGAGGTTCGGAAGGCCTCCGACGGTGAAAAACGCAGAAAATTTTGCATGTCCGTCACGACTGTTCATGTTTTCGGTCGAAATTATTTTGGACGTAACTTTTGATCCGTAAGTTCGTTTTGGTTTGCGTTTAAAGCGTTGGAAAGCTAATGAACATGGCTATAACATGGTATAGTTAAGAGAATTGGTTTCCCAATATTGTTATATCTAATATGTTTGAGAAGTCAATTATGTTCTTGTGCAGTGTTATCTTGATGCTGTGATTTTCTGGATGAATTACCTTGAGTACTGTTAGTCGATGTCGCGGATCTAGAAGGGGGGTTGAATAGATCCCAATTAAAAAATCAGTCGGCGCTTACCAATTAAAAATTGGTTTTAAGAATGTTTTAAATGCGGAAGCGGCCGTGGAAAATTACAGTCTATAACGAACCGTTATTAGAAGACTGGATATGCGTCTAGCCTATGAATTATGATAATAAGCAAATAGATTCAACACAGTAGTCACACTATCAATTGATCATTATCACTTATTAGGAAGACTAGTTCCAATGCTTCACAATCTCAACCAAAATATGTAAACAATACAAGCAGATTTTGGTGTAGACAATTTATCAAACATTTGGCGTGCAAAGCACTCCAAGTGGAATTTGGCTTGAGTAAGAATCTACAACTTCCTTGTACAATACATTGTTGTACTATAGTTTCAAAACAGTGTTAAGCACTTACTCAACCAATGCTAACT